CGACCTGTCGTAGGCAACAACCGACTGGACCGGCCCATCAAGGATGCACATGGCGTGACATTTTTTGAGGGTACTTATTTATCATGTTTTATATTTTGCAAATATGGTTCCCATTTTTGAAAAATTGATCGGCATTGCCAAAAAATTATTCAAAATTTCAAAAAATGTTCGTAAAATTAAAAAGTGTTCATGTTTTCAAATTTGTTTGAAATATCAAAAATTGTCCGTGTTTTTGAATATTATTCAAAGCGTAAAATAAGTGCTAGTGTTTTAAAAAATATACCTGTTTTCAAAAAAATATTCAGAATTTCAAATTTTATACCTGATTTTCTAAGTTGCAACATTTTCTGAAATTCCATATACTTATTGGAAAAATAACAAAATAAGATACTACAAATAATTTTAAAAAAATCCAATTTTTTTTGAAAAAGGTAAACAAGTATTAACCTTTTGTTGAAAATGCAATTAGGTTTGAAACTTTTGAACATTTTTTGAAATCACAAACATATTAAAAATTAAAAACTTGGTTTGGAAACATGAACAATTGTTTCAAAGTTTCCAACTTTCTTTGAAGAATGTGAACACTTTTCAAATTTGCAAATATTTTTTAGAATTTTGCCTTTTTATAAAAAGGGAAAATTTCAAAACTGAGAATAATTATTGAATTTTATTGTGTTTTTGTTGAAATTTTGAATTTTGAACATTTTTGTGGTGAAGACGAACAATTTGTTTAAAAGACATTGGAAATTTTCGAAATTTTTGATTATTTTTTTAAAAGGAAGGACAAGAAAGAAAAAAAACGTCCCTGTATATCTTGAGGACTATTTGGCGCTCACAGGATTTCCCCGTTTTCGTGCGTTTCCCTTGCCGTCTTCGTTTCTTGTTGGGTCGGCGGCAGCTTGCTAGGGATCTTCTCTTGCTAGGGATTTTCTCTGTACCGTGGGATAAAGAAACCGCCTTTGTTCAATGCACCTTCTATAAGAGCAGCTCCAGCCGTTCACTCCCACGGGACCTGAAAAAACGACATCTGGGGTCGAATCAACGTTTGCTTCCGACGTAGGGGCGATTGCGTTCATAGTCGCCGCCCCAGGTCGCCCCCGGCGCACCCCTTAAAATCGTGCAAACTCGGCGATCTGATACGCCGGCACAAACTCGGCGATTTTCATTGAAATTTGTATAAAAACGGAGAAAAAAAAGGCAAACTACGCCTAGAACTACCCCTAGCCCTGCTACGCCGCGGCCGCCGCCCCGTCTTCTACATGCCGAGGAGTCTGTAGAACCGGGTGTAGTCGCCGCCGCCGCCGTCGCCGTCATCGCCGCCGCCCTGCGCCTCGCTGGAGCCCGCGCCGTCCCTACTGCACCCCTGCCCAGGGTTGCCGACGCGCGGGGGGTTGGACGGCCTGGGCTCGTCCTCGTCGTCGCTGTCGAGGACGATGACGCCGCCCTCCTCGCGTCCGCGGCGCCGGGCCTGGAGCTCCGCGTATGCCTGGTGCTGGCGGAGCACCTGCTCACGGACGTAGTCCGCCTTCGCCCACTTGAGGGCAGTCTCGTCGGCGGCGGCCATCTCCGCATGCTCCGGCTTCATGGGGAGCAGCTCCGACACGGGCTTCGGCCGAACAAGGCGGAGGGAACGCGGGGAGGAGGGGCGGCCATCCTCGTTGATGACGAGGGCGCCGCTGCGGGTGCGGCGCCGAAGTGGCGTCTCCTCCGGCTCCGGCTTGACGGGGCGGAGCGCCGGCGAGCCGGAGGAGAGCGAGCCAGAGCCCGACGATGAGGAGGTCCCCGCCACCATTCGCCGCGGCGTCCAGGAGCTGCCACAATGGCGAGAGAATGACGGGCCCGGCGGGTAATCGAGATGCGGCGTGTTGCCGGTCTCGATGTGGTCGAGGACGGCCTCGAGGGTGCGGCCGGGCACACCCCACCACTCGCGCCGCCCGTTGGCGTTGAGGCGGCCGCGGGGGATGATGCCGTTGATGGAGGCGATCTGATCTTCGCGGCGGCGCTCGAAGTACATCGTCCATAGCGTGTGGCTGTCGGCGGCGTACCTCGGCTCATTCCGTTGCGCCTCCGTTAGTGACGAGCGGATGCGGGCGATCTCGGCCCGCCGTTCAGCCCTAGTGGGCACAGGTGGTACCGGGATGCCGCCGACGCTCAACTTCCACAAACCGGGCACCCGCATGTCTGGGGGCGTCGGATAGTCGGCCTCGTAGAGGAGGCACTCCTCGTACTCATGGAGATGGCGTCGGCCGAAGCCGTTCGCCGTCGCGGAGTCGGTGAGGGGAAGAGGGGGAGAGGTGGCTTCTGGGGTCAGACGAGGCGAGAGAAGGCATGTTGTGGCTACTGTAGCGTTCACCGGCGGGAGGTCCGCTTTTATAGCCGAGGCGGGGCGGTGAGCGGGCGGGACGCGTGTCGCGGTGCCTGCATGCCGGGCGACGCGTGGCGGGAGCGGACGGGGCGCGCGTCGCGACGCCTTCACTATGGCGCACATGAGGCATCAATGGAGGCTCACCGGCGCGGCAACACGGCAGCCTTGGCATTGATTTTCGCGGGAACCGAGACGATGAGGACGATGAAGCGGCATATCGCTGACTCGGCGGGCTCATTCCCGTTCGCATCAAAAACGCTTTCCCAGGTGCCCCCCAACACGCCGTGTTCGCTCTGGATCCGCCGGCGCCAGTTTTGATCCAGACCGACGAAAAAGGGCTTTTGGGACACGGCTGGGCCATTTTTCGGACGCCGGCGGCAAAAGATGGCATGGGAAGGGGGAAGGGGCTTGTTGTGGGCATGACTAGAGATGCTCTAAGTTTTCAATGCACAGGCCGGTTTTCACTTTGTGCTGTTTTTTTTGTTTTTTCTGTTTTCTCTATTGGTTTTATCGGGTTATTCTTATTCGCGGGTCAATTTTCTTTCAATGTGATGCATATGTTGTATCTGTCTAATGAGTGAGAGTTACATGTCTACCTTTACCACTTAGCTTGTCCAACCTAGTTGTGTCCACCCACCATTTAGCGTGAATATTGAGCTATATCAAAAACATTGAGCATCAGTAGGTATTACGTATGGTTAGTACTGCTGCCTTGCGTAGCTTGTGGGTGTTATACTGCTCATACAATCCGTGTGAGCGGCGTCAGTAGGTACTCACCTTCGTAGGTGGGGATTTGAGCCTTACTGACCGTCGTAGACTCGTAGTACCTCAGAGTGTGTAATGCACACAGGCCGATCAATTTAGT